TGGTTTCTAAGCTAAAATTAATCTTTGCAATGAATTACATATAGGAATGTTATTAACTCAAAATCATGATTTTTGACGTTTGGGTCATTTCTATTGTCCATGCCCCATATATCCCTTAAGAACAACAATATTTAAAGTTTTCTCCATTGAAAGTCCTAATTATAGATGGGTGTCTAAATTGTTTTCAGGCTTGTCAAAATGTCTAAAGTCTAAATATAGGTTTAGTCATGATTGTCAAAATATTAAGACATGGTCTAAATGGCAAAATTATTTAGACATGTCAAAAACATTAAGACATGGCAAAATTATTTGGACATGTCAAAACATTAAGACATGGCAAAATTATTTAGACATGGCAAAACATTAAGACATGACAAAATTGTTTAGACATGGCAAAACTGTTTAGACATGGAAAAACATTAAGACATGGCAAAACTATTTAGACATGTCAAAATATTAAGATATTGCAAAATTTCATTTATTTATTAACAAATACTAATATCAAATATCAAGTATGCTTGATGGATCAAAATCTAAATCATCTTCTTCAATTATTTCCTGTTCATCAATAAATTGGTTTACACTACTATTAATCTCGGAATTAAATAAATTTATATCAATAATCTTGTTTGGTTGTTAATTGCAGCATCATTATTTTCATCATTTCCAATCTCAATTTCTTCATTATCTTCATTTTTTCAGCTTCACTAATCTTAGAATATATTTCTTCGTCTAAAATATTCATCCCAAAATACTCAAACCCTTTTTTTTTCATTTGAAATATAATAATTATGGATGATTGCCATATGTTTAACTCTATTGATATCTAGATTATTTCTTCGTTGATTGTAGAACCATGATAAAATTGAAAAAACACGCTCGCACCCTGCAGAATGAGGTGTAATTGCATACAATTTTAGTGCTACTTCTTGTAAATAACCACCTGATTTTGATAGTAAATTCCACCATGTATATGATGAAATTGCATTATCATATGGAAGGTCATAGGGTGGTTTTTTTTCACAATATAAATGTATTTGACTTACAAGCCTTGTTGAAGTTTGTTTTCCATGACCCATATCTGCCCACAATTCAATTGCAAACAACATCAAATATTATTAGCCAATTTTTATTTTATTTTTATTAATAAGAATAAAAGGAAAATAAATTTACCCCTATATTTTGGATGTAAAAAATATCCCAATATAAAAAGTTTAGAATTAAATTGTCCCCATCTCTTATTAAAAATGTCAATGCAATAATTTTTAAAATTTGAAAGATCTTTAATATCAACAATATATTCTTTTCTATCAGGTGTAATAACTACAAAATTGTAAATTCCTTGATTTCTTTTATTAGTCCAACCATCAAGTCCAAGCATCAAATCTTTTGAGTTACGAAGTTCATTTTCTACAGCTACAACAATTGTTGCCAATTCAGAATTCAACATTTGTTTAGACAAAGCCTTTCTTGTAGGAGGGTCATAAGATGCATGTAATTGTTTTGTAAGCTCAATAAAAAATGGGCTCTCCACAATAGAAAATGGTACCCCACAACAGATAAAAAATCTAAGTAATGCAGCATCAATTTTCTTTTTTCTTTCTGGAATTAGCACAGAAGAATCATGATATTGTGTTAATTTACGTTGATTTGACTCTATTTTTCTTTTCTTATCACTTGAATCACAATCTTTGTTTGATATAACTCTTAAATAATGTTGAATACATGTAGTTGCTAAATGAGACTCTAATTCATTTGGAGTACCTCTTGGATAATATTTATTACAAAATAAACATGTAGCTGTATGCTTTCCTTTACTTTTTCCTTCACCTTTTGTAAAGTGATTCCATACAGAAGATCCAGGCCTTCCAATGGATTTATTATCACTAATATTTAGATTATTGTTGATGTTATTATACATACTACTGCTAATACTACTGCTACTATAGTTGCTATTAACATCACTATTATCTACATCATTGACAACAATACTATTATTATCAATCAATTACGTTTTTTTATAATAATATTAACCCATTACTACTGCTTGTATAACTATAATTATTGCTATTGCTATTACTATTAATATTAATTTATAATTGCTACTGCTATTATTATACTGCTATTATTATTAAACAATTTATTAAACAATTATTATTTTGTAATTGCTACTACTTATTATTATTTTTGTAATTACTACCGCTTATTATTATTAAATGATTATTATTTTTATAATTACTGCTGCTTATTATTATTAAACAATTATTATTTTTATAATTACTACTGCTTATTATTATTATTAGACAATTATAATTTTTACTACTGCTTGCTTATTATAATTACTACTGCTTATTATAATTACTACTGCTTATTATAATTACTACTGCTTATTATTATTAAACAATTATTATTTTTACTACTGCTTATTATTTTTACTACTGCTTATTATAATTACTACTGCTTATTATAATTACTACTGCTTATTATTATTAAAACAATTATTATTTTTATGATTACTACTGCTTATTATTAAACAATTATTATTTTTACTACTGCTTATTATTATTAAACAATTGTTTATAATTTTATTAATGCTTATTTTATTGTTATTAGAATTAATAGTAGATTGTACTCGCTTATTCTAGTGTGTGAATAGGTAGGATGTTAATAGATACAGTTACTTGTGTCATGGTGAGTTATAATTTACATTTTTTTTTTCATGGGAAAATTTATGGGAAAAAAATCAAAAACAATCAATATCTAATGTCAAAACAATTAGACATTTAGACATATCAGAATAATTTGGACATGTCAAAACAATTAGACATTTAGATGTATCAGAATAATTTGGACATGTCAAAACAATTAGACATTTAGATGTATCAGAATAATTTGGACATTTAGACATTTAGACATGTCAGAATAATTTAGACATGTCAAAACAATTAGACATTTAGACATGTCAAAAATTTAGACACCATGTAGCATGTTTGTCAAAATTAGTCTAAATAATTTGGATTTTGACTTTGTCTAAATAATTTAGTTTTGATGCCCATCTACAGTCAAACCTTGTCACAATGAATTTTGTCACAACGAATTTTTGTCACAGCAAATTTTGAGTTTTTTTTTTTTTTTTTAATAATAAAAAACTTTTGTTACACCGAATTTTATTAATAAATCACATTATACCGACAACGAAGTTTTGGTAGAGATTTTTTGATATAGTTACTAATCGTGTTACAACGAAGTCACCTGAAATGATCAACAAAAAAATGTACTATGGTGCACCAACTCTTAACCCGACAATAAAATCACCTGACTTTGAAACCTTTCAACTCAACATAGAGACATTTTT